TGTTATGCAACCTAAGCATGCAAGAAACTCAAGTATGCAACAAATCTAATGCAACATGAGCAGGTTAACGTGCAATATGCAATATAATAGGTATGCAACAATAATACCAACAACAAGCATGCAATGACATATAATCTAACAAGCATGCAAGATGAATGATCATGCAACAACATGTCAATTAGCAAGCATGCAACAAGCATGTAAGCATAATGCAATAGTACTAGCATGCCAGAACATGCAAGGAAACTAATATGAAATAGGTAAACAACCTAAACATGCAAACATGCATAGCATGTAACGACATGCAAAATGAAACAAGCATGCAACAATGTGGTAAGATGGACTTAAACCAAAATAGGTAGCTCTCAAGCATGCCTAAATCAGTGGCCAAAATGCTAAGAATGAAGGACAAAAGCATATACAAATATGCATGCTAATTGGCCTATCACCTAGGCATGAAGACGCAACTCTTAAGCACACTTAAAAGAGGACAAATATGGATATGTGACATACATTGTAAGCTTTGAAATCATGTTAGGAAAGGTGCCAAACCAACCAAACAAAGCAAGCAAGTAATACAAAAAGGCTTAAAGCTTAAGGCTAGCCAAGGGGTTCAAACCAAGGCCATGCAAGACAAGCCCCAAAGGGCCAAGGAGACCTAAAATAGTCCCAAGGCAGGTCCAAACAAGACCAAAAACATGCTCGAAACTAGCCAACACAAGCTAGAATACAACTCCAAAAGGCACGAGGCATACAAGGCCACCAAAGGGGTGTTACACTACACCTATCAAAACCAAACATGGCATGACATAAACCAATAAAAACAGAGTTATGGCGTGGTAAAACAAGACCAAAAACCTACTTAGATGGCATCCCAAAGACCTAAACATGATGGCATACACAATGAACCATTCATGAGGCATAAAACATCAACTCTTTAAAGCATTAAAGGAGTAATAGATGCAAGTGTATGGGCATGCTATATGGACTGAAATATCATAACAATTGATGCCAAATCATTGAAATTGTTCAAGTAAAGCATGCTAGTGACTTGGACACTTAAGGCTAACAAGCTAGAATGCCTTATGGCTATACAAAGCATGGCATATATGGTCAAAAAGACCAAAATTAGAGCTTAAGCATGTTACAACAAGGCTAAAAGCTTCACGGAGTTGAGCCAAAATCATGCTAGAATGACATGTTACAACATCATGCATGTTAAGGCAAAAGAGGGGATTGCAAGACAAGTATATGGAGGATGTAAGAGGCCATTAAACCAACTTGAAACAGAGGTATATCATGGCAAAATAACACCAAATACTTGTTGAAATGGAGCTAAAACAAGCTAAGCACACATGCTACCTACATAAGCCATTTATGCAAGCATGGCCAAAGGAGCCAAGTGTGCAATTCAATATCAAATGAAATGCACATAACACATAAGGGGGGCCCCGACCTCTATCATGCTTGATCAAGAGGCAAGGGATGCATGCACAATGTTATGCAACCTAAGCATGCAAGAAACTCAAGTATGCAACAAATCTAATGCAACATGAGCAGGTTAACGTGCAATATGCAATGTAATAGGTATGCAACAATAATACCAACAACAAGCATGCAATGACATATAATCTAACAAGCACGCAAGATGAATGATCATGCAACAACATGTCAATTAGCAAGCATGCAACAAGCATGTAAGCATAATGCAATAGTACTAGCATGCCAGAACATGCAAGGAAACTAATATGAAATAGGTAAACAACCTAAACATGCAAACATGCATAGCATGTAACGACATGCAAAATGAAACAAGCATGCAACAATGTGGTAAGATGGACTTAAACCAAAATAGGTAGCTCTCAAGCATGCCTAAATCAGTGGCCAAAATGCTAAGAATGAAGGACAAAAGCATATACAAATATGCATGCTAATTGGCCTATCACCTAGGCATGAAGACGCAACTCTTAAGCACACTTAAAAGAGGACAAATATGGATATGTGACATACATTGTAAGCTTTGAAATCATGTTAGGAAAGGTGCCAAACCAACCAAACAAAGCAAGCAAGTCATGCAAAAAGGCTTAAAGCATAAGGCTAGCCATGGGGTTCAAACCAAGGCCATGCAAGACAAGCCCCGAAGGGCCAAGGGGACCTAAAACAGTCCCAAGGCAGGTCCAAACAAGACCAAAAACATGCTCGAAACTAGCCAACACAAGCTAGAATACAACTCCAAAAGGCACGAGGCATACAAGGCCACCAAAGGGGTGTTACACTACACCTATCAAAACCAAACATGGCATGACATAAACCAATAAAAACAGAGTTATGGCGTGGTAAAACAAGACCAAAAACCTACTTAGATGGCATCCCAAAGACCTAAACATGATGGCATACACAATGAACTATTCATGAGGCATAAAACATCAACTCTTTAAAGCATTAAAGGAGTAATAGATGCAAGTGTATGGGCATGCTATATGGACTGAAATATCATAACAAATGATGCCAAATCATTGAAATTGTTCAAGTAAAGCATGCTAGTGACTTGGACACTTAAGGCTAACAAGCTAGAATGCCTTATGGCTATACAAAGCATGGCATATATGGTCAAAAAGACCAAAATTAGAGCTTAAGCATGTTACAACAAGGCTAAAAGCTTCACGGAGTTGAGCCAAAATCATGCTAGAATGACATGTTACAACATCATGCATGTTAAGGCAAAAGAGGGGATTGCAAGACAAGTATATGGAGGATGTAAGAGGCCATTAAACCAACTTGAAACAGAGGTATATCATGGAAAAATAACACCAAATACTTGTTGAAATGGAGCTAAAACAAGCTAAGCACACATGCTACCTACATAAGCCATTTATGCAAGCATTCAAGACAACAAGGAGAGGGGATGACCCTCTCCTATTCAAGACACCAAAACCACTTTTCCACCACTAAAAATCCTCTAGATTTCAGTGGTAGAAAGGTCATGCAAGACCTAAAACAAGGGCCAAAAGAGATGGCCTAAAACAAGGCCTAACAAGGCCTTGGAAGGAGTAAACAAACCCAAACCAAAAAGAGACCTTAAACAAAGATCTAAAGCATAAAAAATCAGAACTTTTATCAGTTAAGAGCTAAGCTTAAAACAATAAGCAAGAAGGGCTAAAAGCTTAAGCAAGAATGGGGTAACAAAAGCAAGAATGCTCACCCTTGAAGAACCTCTTCAAGAACACCACTCTAGCAACTTTTCCAAGCTTAAATCACTCCAAGAACTCTGAAACTAACTCCCTAGTGCCTCAGCAACAAGAGGATGGTGTAATGCTAGGTGTTTGTGTGCAATAGTGAGACAAAATCACACTTTTGAGCACAAATACACACACAAATGTAAATAGAGGGAGATATAGAGATAGATAGATACAAACTCTCTAAACCTAAAATTCAGAACCTCTGAGAATAGAGGAGGGCCTCCCCTCTTATAGAAATCCAATTTGCAAAGCTTCTTGGAGAAGCTAAGCAAGGGGCAAATCCCTCCATACACGTGTATGAAGGGGGTGAATTGTGCGTGCCAACTGTGCCAGCTGGCACAAAATATCTGCATAAAGCAGATGAACAGGGTTCAGCCACCAAAAATGGCCGATCGACTAACATAAGGGCCGACCGACCAAAAATAGTGCCGATCGGCCAACACTTTTGGTCGATGGAAAGAAAACAAGGCCGATGGCCTCAAGCCTTGGCCGGTGGGTTGAGGGGATGGAAAACAAGCCACCCTCTTCCCTTAGAAGCAAAACACAAGTGTTTGGTCCACAACCAAGCACAAAACAGACAAGTTGAGAGATCTTGAGGCAAGGCGCGCGACTGAGACCTCCAAGAACTCAAAACAAGCACGAGCATGGATGATCATCGAGTGTTCAAAAGATGATGTCCAAGTCTTGAGGACGGTCAAAAATGGGGTGTCTACAGCCTTGCTCACTTTCTCCTTTCCATTTTCTCTATTTATCGAGCTCCCTCTCGATTTATCGATCCCCTACAAGAAAATGCACTTTTAGCGACCACTTTGTCTCTCCCTCGCTCATCACTCTGTCTCTGTCTCTTTATCTCTCTTTTCTATCTGTCTCTCACTCATTTCTCTCTCTCACCACCCATCTCCTCTATTACTTTCACCACTATTGCAAATGTCATTCCACTACCACCACTGCTACCACTGTTGCCACTCCACCTTTACAACTACCATTACTACCACCATCGCCACCACTCCACTACCACCACTACTACTATCATTACCTCTTCTCCACCACCACCACTCCATCTCCTCTACCACTACCACAACTTCACCACTAATCTCCTTCGCCATCACCACCACCAACACCTTCACCACTACTACCTACTACCGCTTCCTTTCCTCTACCACAAAAAATTAGTTCCTGATTTATAGTAACCAAAAAAATGGGCCGCAAAAAAAAAAAAAAAAAATTCATTGACCACAAAAAATTAACTTTATTTTAATAGAAAATATTTTTCATTAAAATATTACCCTTACTTCTACCAAATAAAAAAAGTTTTAATAGAAAATAATTTTTTTTTCATTAACATAAAAATGAAACAAATAATTTTTTAATAAAAAATCAAAAATCAAAAAAAAAATCATTAACTAAAAAAAATGAAAAATAAATAAATTCATTAACTACAAAAAAAAAATAATTATTTTGAAAAAATAAATAAATTATCCTAACTCTCCTATTTTTTTCTTCTTTTTGTTTTCATTCTCCCGCTCTTTCTAATTCCCTCCTTTCTTTTCCCCCTTTGTTTCTCACGATCTCAAATCCCCAATCCCTAACAAAAAAATCAAAAATCAAAAAAAAAATTCATTAACTAAAAAAAATGAAAAATAAATAAATAAATAAATTCATTAACTACAAAAAAAAAATTAAATTATTTTGACGAAAAAAAAATGAACTTGTTTTTGTTTTCCCTCAATTTCTATCTCAATTCCCCCTTAATTCCCCCCCTTTTGTTTCTTACGATCTCTTCAATCCCTAACCTAACACTCCCCCTCACTCTCTCTCACTCTTCTCTCTCTTTATCTCTTTGGCCTACGTCGTCGCCTCTGGTGCCGCCACCGACGACCACCACTACCGCCGCCACACCTCCTCCCTCACCACCATCTCTCTCGTTGCCTCAGTGATTTCAATTCATCTCAGAGAGGGGGCGAGAGATTCATTTCAGAGCAATTTCGCTTTTGATTTCAAAGTTCTCTCTCAATTTCGAAGTTCTGTCTCTCTCAATTTTGAAGACCCACCGCTACCATGGTCTGCACTAGTGAGAGTGAGCACCATCATCTACTAAGGTGAGCACCGCCGTCTACAATCTCAATTTCGTTTTCTCTTCCTTCCCATCGATTCTTCTCCTAGGTTTTGCAATCTTGAATCTTCTCCTAGGGTTTTCAATTAGCCATCTGTAATAATCTGCTTAACATAGGTACAATGTTCATTTCGTTGTGCAGATAAGGATCGAAAATTGGGATTAGAACGCCTTAGGTAGAAGGCAGTTGAAGAGGTTATATTCTATATATCTTCTCTCTACTATGGAATTGCCATTATATATATATATATATATATATTTAATATAAATAAATGCTAGTCTCAATTCAAATTTGTGTGACAGAGACCTGTGTGATGGAGGCCTGATAGATTAGAAGGTGAAAATGCCCACACTTCTAATCTCAACTCTGTTTGCCTTACTGCTTTTGTTTAATTTTCAGGTATGCATCTTAACTCTGTTTGCCCTACTGCTTTTGTTTAATTTTGGAGGAATGATTGAAATTCATTTTGGTGAGAATAAGTTGGTTGTTTTGTGTGTTAATGCTATGATTGGGTTAACAAATTGTTGTTGCTATCTTGCCATATTTTTAATACATTTTGCAAATAAAGGATTTGAAGCTGAAATTGAATTCTATTTTGTCATTTTTCACTTATTTTACCAGTCAAATTGAAGTTAAAGAACCTATAAGAGCTATGAATTCTATTTGTGATGAAATCTGTTTCCATGATCTTTTTAATATTCTCTTATTAAGGGTTTTCTTAGTTGTCTCCAAATGTTATTGCTACATTCACAGAGTTCCAGTAGGTTGTGAGCAGCATAGTTCAATTGTTAGTCATTTAATCTGAAAGGGGCATAGTGTAGTCCTTTTTGTCATATATCAATTTCTGAATTGTAGCCCTTGGAATAGATTTTGGCAGGCATACTTTTTGTAGATTGGTATATTATATAAGAAATTGTTTTCTTTCTATTTTTTCTTGCCAATTCAGACTTTATTTGACGTCTTATAAGCTAATACCAGCTCAAAACAAATTTTCTTTAATAAAGATAGATTTCTTAGACTAGCTCCTTGCCTTAATGTTGCTTTTGTACCATCAAAAGGTATATCTATATCTCCTTTTATCCTTTATATTATCCAACAAGCACATATATATAAGCACACATCATGTTAATCATTGGATCATTTGGGTGATCACCTGATTAGAGTAGCTTAGGGGAGCATTTCCAAGGCAAGTGGTTCAATAACATTATTATATTGAAATATTGAGTATGACTCTTTTAAGAGTGTTGTTTTGATTCTTATGATTATTGAGTTTATTATGTGGTTGTAGTGTCAGATTCTTGCTGTTGTCGTTAAACTAAATTTGGATCATTCTTGAAATAGGCTTCTTAATCCTCGCACATTTGCTGGATGGTTTGGGCGGTCTCAGTTTGAGCTACGTGTTGTTTCATCAATCCATTTCTATTGTTGTGTGAATTTCCCTTTTGAAGTTAAAAACATGTTAAATTGGTTGAAACTCATCAAAATCAATCATTTTTTATAATACGCATGTTATATCTTAAGTTCTGATAAATCTCAAGCTTCCATAATAAGGTTGGATTCCTGGAATAGGTGATGTTATATCAAAATCTTAGTTGCTCGAAGTGGGAATGGGGGTACATAGAAGAGTCTAAGGTTGAGAGTACCTATGGAAGTGTTTACATAAATTCATATAAAATATTATGTTTTAAGTCTATTTTTTTTGGTGGATAGTTGTAATGTATATATTAAACATGAATAAATAACAGAGTTTTGTGTCAAGTGCACATTCTTTTTATTTAAATATCAACAACTATTTTGTTAATACAAATTACAAGAATAAGTTTGAGCTAATTTTTTCTCTATAATCTGATGGTTGTTGTAGATTTTCTTTTGCTTGGTAGCTTTTGTTTAAATATATTAGACTCAAATAGGGTTCCCGATTTGGGAGTTAGAGCCAAATTTCACTCTAGACAAATTAGTTTCTTAAGAAACTTAGAATTCAAGGTGTTAACGCCCCAAAATCACCAAACAGCGTCGGAGTAGCACAAAACTTGGCACACATGACCGCCTAGGCACGAGAGACTTGTGGGAGAAGATGAGCCTCAAATCGGGTTCCAGGTTTGGGAGTTAGAGTCGGATTTCACTCTTAAGAAACAAACTAGTTTTTTAAGAAACTTAGACTTTGAGGTGTTAATGCCCCCAAATCACCAAACAGTGTCGGAGTAGCATGAAACTTGGCACACACGACCGCCTAGGTGTGGGAGAAGATAGGACTCGAATCGGGTTCCCGACTTAAGAGTTAGAGCCGGATTTCACTCTAGGCAAACCAGTTCCTTAAGAAACTTAGAATTCAAGGTGTTGACACCCCAAAATCACCAAACAGCATCGGATTCGCACGAAACTTAGCATACACGACCGCCTAGGCACGAGAGACTTATGGGAGCAGACAGGACTCGAATCGGGTTCCTGATTTAGGACTCAGGGCCGGATTTCACTCTAGGCAAACTAGTTTCTTAAGAAACTTAGAATTCGAGGTGTTAATGCCTCAAAATCACCAAACGGCGTCGGAGTAACATGAAACTTGGAACACACGACCGCCTAGGCACGAGAGACTTGTGGGAGAAAACAGGACTCAAATCAGGTTCCGGTTTGGGAGTTAGAGTCGAATTTCACTCTTAAGAAACAAGCTAGTTTCTTAAGAAACTTAGAATTTGAGGTGTTAATGCCCCAAAATACCAAACGGCGTCAGAGTAGCACAAAACTTAGCACACACGACCGCCTAGGAATGAGAGACTTGTGGGAGAAGACGGGACTCGAATTGGGTTCCTGGTTTGGGAGTTAGGGCAGGATTTCACTGTAGACAAACTAGTTTCTTAAAAAACTTAGAATTCAAGGTGTTAACGCCCCAAAATCACGAAACGGTGTCGGAGTAGCACAAAACGTGGTACACACGACTGCCTAGGCATGAGAGACTTGTGGAAGAAGACGAGACTGAAATCAGGTTCCCGATTTGGGAGTTAAAGCCGGATTTCACTCTTAAGAAACAAACTAGTTTCTTAATAAACTTAGAATTTGAGCTGTTAATGCCCCAAAATCACCAAACAGCGTCAGAGTAGCACGAAACTTGGCACACATGACCGCCTTGGCATGAGAGACTTGTGGGAGAAGACGAGACTCGAATCGAGTTCCCGATTTGGGAGTTAGAGCTAGATTTCACTCTAAGCAAACTAGTTCTTTAAAAAACTTAGAATTTGAGGTGTTGACACCCAAAAATCACCAAACGGCATTGGATTAGCATGAAACTTGGGACACACGACCGCTTTGGCACGTGAGACTTCTGGGAGAAGACAAGACTCGAATCGGGTTCCCGGTTTGGGAGTTAGAGCTATATTTCACTTTAGGTAAACTAGTTCTTTAAAAAACTTAGAATTCAAGGTGTTAACGCCCCAAAATCACCAAACGGTGTTGGATTAGCACGAAACTTGGCACACACGACCACCTTGGCACGAGAGACTTGTGGGAGAAGATGAGACTCAAATCAGGTTCCCAGTTTGAGAGTTAGAGTCAGATTTCGGTCTAGGCACAATTATTTACTTAATTATCTTTCTAATTGTATAGTAGGTAAATTTTTATGTTTTTTTTTGTAATTAACATATTAACACATAATTATATTGTCATTAATTTTTTTTTTCCCAGATATTTCTGGAGTAGGAGTTTGCTTCTTGTGGACTTCATGCCTGTGAAGAATGCCACTAATTTTTGTTTTTGTACCACGGAGAATACTAAGGAAAACTTTAAATTTTGATTTATGTTATTTTGAATTATGAATAACATTATGTATTTAAATATTATATATGTATTATGGAACATTATGTACTGGGTTAATTTTGTTGATGTATAGTTATGAATGCAAAAATATGTTTATTATGGAGAAATTATTATTTCTATACAAGAATTTTTATATTATTATGCAATTATTGGTTTTTTTTAATTGTTTTTCATTGAATACAGGTAATTTTTATATTTTTAATTAATTTACAGCAGGTTTTGTTAGTTTAGTTTTTTTTTTTTTTTTTTTTTTTTGCGACGACACCAAACCATCGAAAAAAACAAGTATTTTGTAATTTTTAATAAATATTGCATTTTTTGCAATGGCACCACACCGTCGCAAAAAATCAAAAACCTTTTTTGCGACATAATCAGTGCCGTCGCAAAAAAAAAAAATTTGCGACGGCAATTTCTACCGTCTCAAATAATACTTTTGGCGACGGTAAAACAGTGTCGTCGCAAAAAGGTCTCTATTTTTACACATTATTAGCGACAGTAAAATGTTGTCGCAAATAGTAACATATGCCGTCGCAAAAAAAAGGCGACGGCATGATGCCGTGGTCAAAACGTTTTTGCAACGCCCTCTATTGTGACCCCCCATTTGCTGTCGCTAAAAGTTTTTTGAGACAGCATAATGAGCATATGCGACGACATTTTGCCGTCGCAAAAAATCAAAATTTTTGTAGTGCTAGCTCATGTACTAAAATTCATTTGCACTTTCTAATTGAACTCCAAAAAATATTTTCAAAATTCTTATTATTTATTATATTAATATTATAAAATATTTATATAAAAAGTCACTAGCCAGTTTTTTGTTGTATCCAATATTATTGTGGAAAATTGAATAGACATATTTCACTTTCATAAAAATAATAGATTTCATGTTGAACACTCATATATCTTACACATAATTCAATATGTCCATATATAGCCTTTGAATTAGCATCATTGATTTACAACATCAAAATTCTATGAATAAAAATTAATTTATACAAGCTTTTCAGATCTAAGAATAACAAGTACATTGTAATAGAACTACCCTTCAAAACTACAGTAATCACTCCATAGGGCGTTTGTATACTAGATGTTGTTTAGTGCGTATAATTATTACATTGCACCTACTTGTTTGCTTAAGGTCTTTACCTCAATGATAGAGTAAATCATTCTATCATATAAAAGCACAATAAGTATAGGTCATGGTAGTGTAATGCCCAATATACACTCAAAGCCTAAACAATTTAGAGTCTTTTGGTTCATTAACCATTGGCATCATTTTTCTACAATGTTACCCAAGAAACCTTATGTTCACATCGTATGTGACATCATATAATTATTACCCATAATTTTGTACATGATTATAAACTAAAATATCAAGTAATTTATTAAACAAAATAAATAAATCTAAAATTAAGATTTTTTAGGGCATAAATGCTAACAATCTCCCATTTGCACTCAAAATCAAACATACATATATTTGATACTCATTATTCTAGATGCTTCTCAAACACCTTTTGAGTTAAAACTTTTGTTAATAGATCTGCAATATTTTTCATTAAAGTAGTATTTGTTATTGCCACATCACCTCTGTTAATAATATTACTATAAACACTTTATTTTGATTGGTTCTAAGATTTGACCATGTTCTAAAGCTCCTCAATGATGAACAAATGATGGATGATCATGATATTTTCAAAATAAGCTATACAAGTGGTGAGACCCCAAAACCAATCTGAACCCTCTTTTAGCCAAAAACTATTTTCAAGCCTTAAAAATATTTTCAAAAAGAGTTTTTAGAAGAATTCAAGATGTAACTTTAAGAATTTGACTAGTCCAAACTTTGCTTTTCAAAAAAATAAATAAATAAAAGAGCATGTTTCTTTCAAAGACATGAAGGAATTTAGGAACCAAAAAGAGTGTAACTTAAAAATAGTCAATTTTAAAATGCTAAAAAGGGTTTTAAAGTCTTACTACATATAATAAAAGCAAAAAAGTCTTAATTTCTATAAATAAGTTTCTAATTTGTAATTAGTACTGTAGTAAATTGTTATTTATCCTTTTTCCTTGGGAGGGGGGGGGGAATTTAGTGGAAAATCCACTTTCATGTACTTGTATCTCAAATAATTTATGAGATATTATTGTATTCCAATAAGTCCTATTCTTTTGGATATTTCATCCACCCTAAAATGGATGTCTAAATTTCACAATGTGTACATTATGCGAATGTTCTTTTCACATTTACATTACATTTCTACATACATTGAGCAATTAACAATTACTTTCAGATTCATATGGTATTCTTTCACAAATTTGGAACACCCACAAAAATACCCCCAATTGTGTTTGAGGTTTTCACAATCAAAATTAGGGATTTCAAAATAAAACACATATATTACTTCCTAATATGTCACATTTAGAATTTATAAGGCATTGTAGAACTAATAATAGTTTTTCACTATTTTCAAAAGTATTGTAACAACTAGGATTTCAATAGAACACAAAAAAAGAATTCAAATTGACATATGTTTGGTATCCATCTCCAACTCCTCAGAACTATCAATGAGGTGAATGTGAATATTCATAACAGGATGGGGTTTCGCTCACCAGTGACGACACGATATGAAACCAATGATCGAATGATACAAAGTCTGGCGTAGATGATGGATGACTGCTTTTCAGTGCATTTGTCACATTGACAAACTTGAATTCAAATCTTAGAAAAGTTTTGGGAACATGGGAGGCAACAATATCTTTTACAAAACCTGTAAGAGTCTTTGAATCCCAACAGCTTTTCTTAAAGAGGGATCTTGAAGAAGAGGTATACATAGTTCAACTTGATGGATTTTCTTCAAAGGATAATCACTTGGTTTGAAAGTTAAACAAATCTGTCACAGCCCCAAACTTGCCCCTAAAAGTTCGGGCATGACCCATTCAGAAACAGACAGATAACCTGGTACATATATATCATATGGGGCCTTGACGGAAGCACAAAACATACAAGAATACAAAATTAAGCAAATCCCATTGAGCTATTTCTAACATGCCAGGATCTCATACATTACATGCACCATAAGAGGTTGATAGAATCCAAAAATATTTCTTGACAGTACATATATACAAATACATAAACAGACCCAGCCCTGCAGTCGGGCACGTAACAAAAACTATTGGAGTTATACACAATCAACCTTAGAAGGGTAGCCAAGAAAAAGCCAATTAT